CAATCCAGTGTCGTTTTACTTGGTGTTCATTGTGGTTTTGTTAGCTTTGTTTGTTATTTGTTTATTTGTTTTATTTGTTTATGTGGTTTTGATTGTTATCAGTTTGGTATGTTAGATATATTTTCTTAGATTTTATAAATTTTAGTTTTAGTTTAAGCTTCACTAATTTTATTTATAGGGATAGACCGATAGTTGTAGAGCTATTTTATGTGTTTGGTCTTTAATGAGTCCTACACAAATACATTAGTTAAGTTCTAAGCTCCTCAAAGTTGGCAAAACAAGTTCCATGTACTATTAATGGTAATCAGGGAGATCAACAGATCATTACTTTAGCTAAATACAGGGGGCCCCCGCATGTCTGTTCTGTTTGTTACGATGCCGGGTTCCTTTTATGTGGGCCTGTTACAACGCATTTTTAAATCATGCTGCATTAAGTAATAACTTGAATGATGATAATAATAACGAAGATAATGGTAGGATAATGTTGCGATATAAAATGATAATAAAGTCTGTGAATTTGTAACATTTTGTTGAGTTACATGGTGTGTGACAATGCATCATGTAATAACATGGCATTACGTGATTAGTATTTTGTTACAATTTTTATAGTTTTTGTTTAGTCATCTTTTTTTTTATTCTATTTTTGCATCTCATTTCAATTGACAAAAATGTTTTGGTTTTCATTAACGATAATAATCCTCGGCTGAACACGCACTTCCATCCCTAGGTCGCATTCTGCCACTTCTTCTTCAACATCGCTGGCATCTTGCTATGGTATCCCATCCCATTCATGCGCATCCCCATCCGCCTGGCCAAAGCCCTCGGCAATCGTACCGCCAAGTACCGCTGGTTTGCCGCCTTCTACCTCATCCTGTGCTTCCTGGTCCTGCCGTTGGGCATCTTCAGCCTGTCCCTGGCTGGCTGGCAGGTGCTGGTGGGCGTGGGGGTGCCCATAGTGGTGGTCGCCATCTTCATCATTGTCGTGAACTTGCTCCAGGTCCACAAGCCCCGGGTTCTGCCGCCCGTTCTGCGCAGCTGGGAATTCCTGCCATATTGGATGCACTCCATGGCCCCCTGGGACCGCGTCGTAACCGCGGCAACGTCCTTCTGCGCCGCCCGCTGCTGCTGTTGCTGCCGCTGCCGATGTTGCAGCAGTACTGCCGGCGACCAGCAGGGGGAGAAGAGCGGCGACGGCATCCTGAACGAAAAGGGAAAAATTGAAGTGTCCCACAGCATGATGGAGATCCACAATAACCCAGCGCTGTCCTGGGAGGGTGAGCCAGAATCAGGCCAGAGGAATTGCCCCAGAACTGATCAGCAAAGCACACATTTATAATGATTTGTGTGTTCAGCCTTGAAGTTGGGCTCTAATATTGTACCGGTTTGAAGCCAGCGTTGCTGGCTGTGCCAAATGTGCTCTACATCGATTCCCCCTCTGTCAATCGTATTATTAATTGCTGTGGTGGCACAGAAGTGGCTGTGAGGCGAGAGACATATGCAAAAAAATGGAAATAGCAACTGCAGTAGCTGCCTGACAGAGCAGGAATATACCTGACTTGTCATAATAAGCTTATACAGCAATTTGATGTTTTATATGTTCACGAAATATATTTAATAAGTATTTAATGAGAAAATCATGATTTTCTTTCCACTTCTGACATATTTTTTTCTTAGGTATTTATACAGTATATATTTAACGTTCTTACAGTTTCGTACCTTTCTCCTTTTACTGGGAATATCAATTTGAATATGTATATTTATGAATTTTGTGACTGAGAAAATTGTAAGATGACTGTAAGGAGTGGCTGTTGAATAGGACTCAACATGCTTCCCCCTGTTTTTAATGATGTATATAATGATGGTGTATAATTCAAGAAGAGTATGTCTATTACAGGAAGCGGGTCACATAGCTACTAATAACACATCACCAGCAGGAACATATGAGAACGTGAAAGTGACAAATCTCTCAAAGGCAAAGTCACGGCAAAGATGTAATCGGCATGGGGAGCCTTGACAAAAGTTATTAAAAACCACAAACGTAAACCACAATATCAATGTTAATACCCCTCTAAACAAAGAGCTGTACGGTCGAAGCGTTGTTATTTTTATTTTAAGTTTTTACTGTTTGAATAAAGGACAAATTTAAATTTATTGCCTGTGTTTGAGGGTGGTAATAAGCAGCAATGACAGCTTTGCAAACTTTGGCTCCTTTATTGCAGCACATGACAACTTATTAGTCGGGTAGGAAGAGATCAGGCACAGAAACGTATCTAAAGCGAGCCTGAACATGGCTGGCAGCTAGTCTTGGGAATGATGAGAGAAGTGTGATTCGTCACTCCACAGAACACGTTTCTACTGCACCAGAACCCAGTGGTGGCTTTACACCACTCCGTCCAACACCTGGCATCACGCTTGGTGATGTGAGGCTTGCATGCAGCTGCTTTGCAGTGGAAGCCCATTCCATGGAGGTCTTGGCAGCACAGACTTTGTGCTGCAGTTAATGCCAGAGCGTTGGCGACGTTTCAGGGTGTCTCAATACTTTTTGTCCATTTACTGTAGTTCAAGGTCAATTATACACTGTATTGGGACACCCCTCCAAATCATTGAATTCAGGTGTTCCAATCACTTGCATAGCCACAGGTGTATAAAATCAAGCACCTATGCATGCAGACTGCTTCTACAAACATTTGTGAAAAAATGGGTCACTCTCAGGAGCTCAGTGAATTCAAGCATGGTAAAGTGATAGGATCCCACCTGTGCAATAAATCCATTTGTGAAATTTCCTCGCAACTAAATATTCCACGGTCAACTGTTAGTGGTATTATAACAAAGTGGAAGCAATTGGGAACAACAGCAACTCAGCCATGAAGTGGTAGGTCATGTAAAATCACAGAGTGGGGACAAAGCAAACCTTCTCGTCCAACAGTCCTGTGCCACAGTGCCTCGTCCACAGTTCCTGACCTCACAAATGTTCTCCTGGAAGAATGGTCAAAACATCCCATAAACCTGGTGGACACCCTTCCCAGAAGAGTTGAAGCTGCTATAGCTGCAGAGGGTGGGCCAACTCCATATTAAAGCCTATGTATTAAGAATGGGATGTCATTAAAGTTCATGTGTGTGTAAAGACAGATGTCCTAATACTTTTGGCAATATAGTGTATCAACACACAGTAAATACAGCGAATTTATAAGCGTACAATTTCTCAGGAAAAAAACGACATATGTACCCCATCGCATTTCTAGGTTTCAACATCAAAGGGCTATCTGACCCGCCTCCGTGTGGCGCCAGAACCTTCGAACCCTTCCAGGACCTCCGCAATACCCTTGGTGCCCGTCTCGTTCTCTGAATACAAGATCTCACGTGGCGGGTAATAAAAACGGAGGACAAAACAATAATTGGGACACGTGAAATCAAAACTGTGCGTGAAGATGAACTGTGATGAAGATTCTGAGAATCAGGCACCCGCCCCCCCACACCTCCACTGGGTTGGTGTGATATTACACACTGCAGAATGGCATTGTTCCTCAGTGACCCCAGCATCTTTCCTGCCGGTGATCAGGTGACCTTCACCTGGACCCAGCAGGGAAATCATTCTTTAAACAAACACACTTTGTGACTTAGTCTGTTTGATGGGAACAAGCTGACTCCATGTGTTAATCAATTACCCCAAAAACAGCTCCAGATACAGACTTGGCACATTTTACCCACCCCAGTAAAATTATACTGGAAAATCTGATTTTGTTAAAATGATAAGGAATGTAATTGAGTAACAGAAATGTTTACAAATAGTTACGGCACATATTTCTACAGGTTTAAATATTATTTTAGATATAATTTGACGTGTTAATCTCCCTCCGGATTTTTAAGGCCATAAATTATAATAGGAATAAACAATAAGTAGTGAAGCAGGACACTGGAGTTCAGATCAGAAGCAGAGAATCAATACGGCATTCCTTGGTGCACGGTTAACACAGCTGCAACCCTAACCAACCGGGACATTGGGTCAGAGTTTCCCTGGGCTACTGATAGCCGATGCTTGTAACAGCGCAAGGTGTGCGATGCTGGCAGGGCTGTTCAGCTGCTGGGGTACAGTACAGGACCATGGCGAGATGCCTTCAGCACCCAACAAGAAGCCACTGTGACAGAGCATGTCTATGTTTACTGAATGAATGTCTCTGCTGATGATCAATGCCTGGTTATCGCTTCCATCATTTCCCAATTCCAAATCCAAGTAGCTTCGTATCAGCCTGTCGATTAAATATGGTATGAAAGTACAATGGTGACTTTAACTTTGAAGCAGCTAAATCGCAATTCCGCAGCTGCAAAGGTGACTCATATTAAGTTGATTGTCAATTAGCAATGCGTGTCAACTATAAACGAGCTCTGCAAACAAGCAAATATTGTCCCCTTGAGATGTTCTTATATTACAGAAAGATAATTCCCCCATAAAAACTGCGAAACTAATTCGGCAGTGGTTTCACGAACAGCCGTGTGAACTGCTCCCCAGCCACCCAGGATAAACATTATTGAACCTTTGTGGGACGTTCCGGAGTGCCGAATGTGAAACACGTTTCCACCTCCTTCATCGCCTGAAGAACAGGAGGCTTCCCCTTGATGATGAACGGCCTAATATCCCACTACACAGAGAGTAGGACTTCAAAGGATAGCGTTTCCAAAATTACTGAAGCTGTTCTGAAGGCGAAGCGTGGACCTACGGCTTACACGATCCATAATGCTAATATACTTTGGCCTGTTCTGTCAATCCACTGTGTATTGCAGTTATTTAAAATAAAAAGCAACTATTTATACTGAAATTGGGGAAACATACTGAAAGAATCTTATAGTATATCCTTAGCAAATAACATTCATGTCTGAATAAGGTTTGAAATGTTCTTTTCTTCTCTTGGGAGTTTTTAAACGGTGTATGTGTCTCATTCTATTTATCCATTTGATCCAGTATCATTCCCTTTTACATAAAATAAACCCGACACATAAAAAGGTGCAGTTTGCGATGTTTAATCTCAGGCTTTCTCCAAATTCACCATTGTACTACAGATGCAATAATATTCATGAGATGTAAAACTGCACTTCATTACTTCGATGTGTAAAAAAAAAACAGGAAACAACACTTTTGAAAATGATACAAACCCTTTGACTCAATGTTCATTAAAGGTTTTGTTTGTAATGTGTTATTTGCCTGACTTTTACATCACTTTGGACCAAACTGTTTGCTAAATGCAGTTAATGTAAACATAAGACATATAGTTGACATATAAAACACTGTGTGGGCAGAATTTCCATGAGACGGGTCCCGGGCCCTTCTGACCTTCCAAGTGACTGGAATATGGATGGATGGATGGATGGATGGATATGCTATGCATTCTGGATAAGGTTAGGTGTAAAACCTATCCAACGTAATAAATAACAACCAATAATAATGATGATGATGCTGCTGACATCAAATTCAAAATGCACATCTTCTACTCTGCTGTTCCCTGCCTCCTTCAAGATGATCGCAGACATTATAATATCTGTGCGAGCAGCACTGAGCCAGCCGCGCACAGACAGGCCCCCAGCACGCACCAGGCCCAGTCCCTGAGCTGCTGCAGGTCCCGCCAGCCCAGGCCCGGGGCGGCCGTAGGCCCCCGGCCACCGGCAGCAGTAGCGGCTCCTCTGCGTTCACTTTGCGCTGCTGTAGGGACATGGATCAGTGGGTGAGGTGAGATACCTGCTCTGCACAATGTGCAGGTAAGACAACAGCACCACACTCAGGCCAAAAATGGAACTACATCTCCTGCTTGGGGGGAAAAAAAGGCTAACATAACTTAAAAGGCAGTATCAGTCACCAAGGAAATATTAAATCTTACCAGAGGGAATCCCAGCACTGATGTCAGTGATCAGTAATTCTGGTTCTGAATTCTTATATTTGGTCTGAATGGAAGGATCACCTACATACTGGCAATCAGGTGACAATTCTTAATTTGGCTGTATGATACAGTCAGACCTTCAATAACAGGGGCAATCCTAGGATTTTTTAAGATTGAGGGACCATAATTCATACAGAGGGGCCAACTGTATCATTAGCCAACGATGTTTTGAATCGGTGAGTGACAGGGGAGGGGGCACTCAGGGGGCCAATCAGCTTTCAGCTGGAGTCAGTGCCCCTGTGGCCCCGCAACCTGTATACACCAATGATAAGTACTGTTGGATGGGAATCGATTCATAGGGATTGCACTGCATATCAATGTGCACTGAACTGCTCCAAGCATCTCCCACAAAAACCATCAATGAATCTTTGACTGGTACACAACTGCCAGTCACCCTGTGGCCTGGACTCTGGGGACCAATCTCACTTACCCAGCATTCCTCTGTGGATGGGGCTTAGTATTATGGCGGAGAGGAGGACTGCGCCACTGCCAATAAGGCAGGCCTGAAAGACATGGAGAACACGTCTGCCGCTGCTTACTCTGCTGCCGTAAAATGACACAAAAAGACACGACTGAAATGCACCAATCAGCCAATGACTGACTAATGACCCGTCGCTGAAGACCAGGTCACATGACAAATGCCCACATTAAGGCTATATTACTGAAACATGGAATGAGACATTCAGCATTAACTGGGAGTCCGTCACTGGGTTGGGATGTTAATAACTTTACCAATGAGGTCTGTATTATAGAATTGATCTTAAGCCCCCTCCAATACGACAGAGCACTGGTTGCGTGGCTGATAGCTGGCCTACCCAAAAGTATCGCAGAGCTCCAGTAGTGAACGTCCTCCAGACCCTCGACAGCCGAACTCTGAGGAGAGCCAGCGAGCAAGGAGTCACGTCCTCCTGGTTTTCATATTGTCTGCAGCTGTGGTGGTGGGGGGGTGGGTGGGGGGTGCTTAGTGAATCCATGCACAGTGCGATCTAAATTACCTCAGCCCACCCTTACATGACCTTACTCTTTAGCCCGAACACACTGGACGACATTCAGCATAGCATCGGAACTGTATCCTCACCTCCAAGCTACACTCATCTCATCAGTATGCAAAGCACATGCAGGACCAGGGGGGACCAATCCCAGACACTCCATGCATAATTTATCATCATCAAAAAAAAAAAAAAAAAAAAAAAGTATCTCGGTATTTCCGAGAGTAAAGTACCGCAGATAGAGTTTCTCCAACACGGCGCTCCTATCCAGTTGATCCCGCTTGCTGACCTTTAACTGCTCTAGAATCTTCTCCGGAATGTCATGCCCCATCTCAATCATGGCTGCCAGGTTAAATATTCCCTGAAGTTAGGAGGAGACAGGCAATCGATGACTGATGTGTAGCGTGCTGTGTCACATGCATTGGGAGCTGACTAACATTATAGGCTTTTAGTTTCTGGAGTCTAGACGTGTTGACATTAGCGTCACTCTGGCCTTTGGCTGTGGCAAAGAGGAACGCTCCTACTTTCATCATAGCCAAGTGCAACCGGTTAAAAATAGACATGCAAGTTGTACTCTGAGAAGGAGGCCTGAAAGCAGTGTGCTGTCTCATGACACGCTACTTTTCACTTCTCCTACGCCTCGTTTGATATGAAATCATAACTGAACACTCCGTCTTCATTCCTCTGGAAGTGCAGCGCAGCTCGGGGGTGGGGGGGGGGGGATTTACCTGGGGGCTGCCAGCCAAGGCGGCGCTGGCATACATCAAGACAGATAACCTGGCGTCCCGGCTCTGGTTATTCTGACCTTCATAATAAAAGTCCCCCATCTTCAGGAGCCCTGATGCAACATGAGGAAGGGAGGAGGGGAGGGGGAGTAGGAAGAGAAAGAGACGATAAAACGTTAAGGCGGATGGAAATTAAATTCAAATGGCAGTGAAGTGTACTGATTTAAATCAGATCTGGGCGAGCTGGAACGGAATGAGAGAGCAACGGTGTGAAGATGTGGAGACAACTATGGCGGCGACGGGGATCAGACTCACCGGCGGGATGGGGGTAGTAATTAAAGGTAGATTGGTTGTAGTACCGCCATTCACAGCCATAAGCCTGTCCCAGCTCCTGTGCCAATGGAATTACAAGTTACTGCTTTCTGTTAGCACATTAATCAACACATCTGTAATTATTACAATGGACTCAAGGTTACTGCACCAGTTATTTGGGCTAAGCCCCCTATATCTGCTTTTTGTAAGATGATTTTTTTATGTTGGAGGGCATAGGCGGGGTCATAATAAACACAGGTTTATCATTATCCAATGATATGTTTGGAATTGGTGAGTGACAGGGGCGGGGGTAAATCCGGGGACCAATCAGGTTTCGGTGTCGCTGTGGCTCGACCCCTGTATATGCCACTGGATTTAAACCTGCCAGCTTTCTGTTCATAAGATTCCTTTGTCAAGTGTTGCCTCTACTATACACATTATACTGTGAGCCCATTTTAGGTTCTGATTCTAATAGATGTTTGACTATCAGAAGCTGATAATCAGGGGGAAAGGATCGACCGGCTCCAGTGTAGGTAGAGGCTTTAAGTTCCCGAGGGCCTCAGTATGTTTAAAAGGCAGGGAGACACATTCTTACGGTCAGCTCCTCACACAGGTGTGCCGCGTTGTTCTGGGCCACGCCCACTCCCGTCTCCGCCGCGAGAAGGTAACTCAGCAGCGACTCCACTCTGCGGGAGACAGAACGAAGCACTGTGTCCGAGAACCGCCCATGGGCAGCGAAGGCGGAAACAACGAAAAGAGCTAAACAGCAAATAAACAGCAAATAAACCGCTAGTATCCTGGAAGCGAAAAATAAACCTTCATACTGATATCTGGATCTGTCAGCCTAATTACTGAGCAAATTACAGTCAAAAGACTTTTTCCCCCCATTTTCTTAATCATGGCTCATCACTAATCACCACCCTGCTGTCTGATTGTGTGATTAATGTTAATTTGCAATCCTCCCTTTACAGAGGCACACCGAACCTGTAAATTTTGCACAGAATCCAAACACTGATCACATGACGCGGTAGTGGATGGTGGGGGGTGGGAGGTATGCTATGTCAGAGCACACACTGATACTCACCGGGACCCCTTCAGGTAGGCATTGAGTCCCTTCCTCAGGATGGACCCCAGATATCCGTTCTGCTCACAGATCTCCTTCAGCAGGCTATGGGAAAAGCACAAGACGACAGCCATTTCCTGGTTCTCTCCCCACCCCACCTCAGCACACACAAATCTTCACAAATGTAATGGAGTCAGATTTAACAGGGCAAAAAAAAAAATAATCTATATATGGCAGAATCCCAGAGGTAGAGGTAGGAATTCTACCCCCTTCCAGGTTAAGGTGGGGGTTAATAAAAGGTGCCATAATTTACACAGAGGGGCCAACCTCATCATTAGCCAATGATATGCTTTGAATCGGTGAGTACCAAGGGGGAGGGCAATCAGCTTTCCCCTGTACCCCCCCTGGGGTATCTCCTAGTTATGAGGAAAAAAAACATCAATAACGCCTATTATGGACCCATATGAGCCCAACGTAGCCTTATCTACTCTATTTTCCAGTGTGAAACCTCCCCCCCCCCGTGTCCTGCTGCCAAACCATAATCCTCATTTGCCCCCCCCCTCCCATATCCATATGATACTAGCATCCTGCCCAAAAGCAAAACACTTATTACCATTCTGGTAATAAGAAAAACACACGCAGACATGATAAATCTGACCCTCAACTATCTCGCCACACCACCCGCGCTCCGTAGGAGTGCCTTACAGGACAGCTCTCTCGGGGTCTCGCCCAACCGCAGGCAGGACCCCTGTGGCGTAGTACCAGGCGGCTTCCATGCCCGCCTCCAAATGCCCCTTGCCGGAAGCTTTCAGGAAGTGCTGAAAGGCCGCAGTCTGCGGGAAGCAATCGATGTGCACAGAGGGAACCGTCAGCCGCTAATGGCAAACTCACACAAGCCTGTTATTAGGCCACAAACAAATAACAGCATTTTTGTACATTTTTTTGGCAAGGAAATGTGGTAAAATTAATAGTGACATCCAGGGGCACAGCTAGAAATGCTGGATCCCCTGACAAAATGTCACCTAGGGCCCCCTTGGGTAGTGATGTTTAAATGTTTCAATTATCACATTCAAAACCCGCTATGTGCTGCTCCCCGAATCTGCCAGTGTATCCATGTGCTTCTGATGCCTCAGGGACACAGCCAGCTAAGAGGGAACACTCTGGGGCCAGGCCATACCTGGTTCTTCCCTGGCTTCTTCGGGTGTTTGCCGCTCATGTAGAGCAAGCCGAGGTTGTAGATCGCGTCCTTGTTGCCTGTCTGTGCGGCCCTTTCAAAGTACCTCAACGCTGTGGCGGAGTCGGCCATGAAGACGCTGTAATACCATCCCACGCCATTGATGGCTTCTGGGAAACCCTGAGAGGGAGGGATGAAACGCATTGGGAAACCCACGGAGACGCGCGGAATTGCTTTGATATGGGAATCTCTTTCATGGTACATGCAACAGACAACCTAAGACATGCATACATACAACCAGATGCACAAACATAAATATATTCACCATTGATGCAGCTTTCTCCAGTAGACGAAGGCCCAATGTCCTGTTCTTCTTCTTGCCATGGCCCTTGAGAAGATCAAGCAGAATATGGAGTGTGAGAAGCCCAAGGAGAACATGGAGTTATACAGCGTAGGTAGTGCAGTATGGTGTTTACCTACAGCAGTCAAACGGATGTATCACACATGGTCTACCTACGATGGTCTAATAGATTAGGACACAGTGTCTGTCTACTGTGATCAAACGGATTGGTTAAACATGGTCTACCCACAACAGTCAAACTCATGGGTCATACACGTTCTAACTACAGTGCTCATGGTTGACCTCTAGCAAATGGATGTGTTGCACATGGTTACCTTCAGGAGTAATATGGAGTAGTCATACATAGCCTGTGGGTCGGTCATCCTCATGGCACTCTCAGCGTACCACCGAAGAGCACCCTCGGTGTCTTTGGACACTCCTTGCTCTCCCCAGAGCAGCATCCTGGCTAATGTTTTCTACAAATGAGAAGAAATTATGGTCTGTTGAAGCACCCACTTAATCACAGATGATTAGAAGCTGCGACGTGGATTCTGGTAATTCAAGGAAGCCAAAAGTGACCTTTATAGAATCGCTTTTGATTAGCATCCTGAATAGAACCGCATGATGTGTGGGTTAGAAAGGGAGGCCCCATAAAAAACAGTAAATTCAAGTGAGGAATTGGGATCACACAGGAGCAGGTGTACTGGAATCAAAAATGTAGCTGGGATTACTGGAGACTACCTGAGCCTCCAGGTCTCCCCTTTCGGCCTGGAATTTGAAATACTGGAAGATGTCGCCATCTTCATCCATTTGAGACTTCAAGGCCTCGTCATCAGTGAGGAGGATCAACTCTGTGGTGTATTGCTTGGGGGGGGGGGGAAATTGAGAATGTCACAGACACAATGGGGCAAGTGGAAAAAGCAACCTGCATCAGTTTTGTGAAATATCTGGTACAGGGCTGAGATGTTCTTAAAATAAAAATTTTACAGAAATGCAAGTCTGTGGGCTTGTATTATGTATGCTAGAACATACACTGTAACTTGACAAACGGAGAGAACCTAAAATAGCTGGAAAAAATACATAAAGTCTCCACAGTGACATGGCAGCCATCTAGCTGCTGCAGTTCCTTATTTCTCTGTCCATGTGCACCGTGATGCAGGCACTCACTTGAGTCATCGGCACTGTCCACCGATCGGCGCAGGTCTGCTTGCCAACGTTACTGTAGTAACAGTAGGCCATGCTGTAATCCCGAGGAAAGCCATCAAGTCCCTGAGCGTGCTTGTAACCCAGGTGCATGAGAGTGAGTCGGCCGTCCGCCTGAGCGCCAACCAGACTGTAGATTTGACCCTGGGATGCGGTTGCCAGAGCCAGGATAGCGGTGAAGGGATTAGGTTAATAACACCAAAGCGGCTGCAGTGACATCATGGCGAAACATAGCGCGTGATGTCAGCAGGTAGCGACCACAGCGACACACTCAAGAGTGGCAACAGCAGCCCGAGAGTCTCACAGACAGAAATATCAACAGGGAAGGTGGTGAAGTCAGCTACATCGTGCTCG